GCCCTAGTAAGATTCAGAATCTGGATCTTAGTCATGTCATTAGGCTTGTCTGTCCAAAGAAATGAGGGTAATAACAACTGTATTAGTCCATTCTCGGTCTGCTAATAAAGACATATCCAAGTCTGAGTAATTTATAAAGGAAAGGGACTTAATTGACTCACAATTCAGCATGGCTGGGGAGGCCTCAGGAAACTTACAATCATGGCGGAAGTGAAAGCAAACACATCCTTCTTCGTATGGTGGCAGCAAGAAGTGCCAAGCAAGAGGGGAAAAAGCTCCTTATAAAAAAAATCATCAGATCTCTCGAGAACTCACTCACTATCACAACAACAGCATGAGGGTAACTGCCCCCATGATTAAATTACCTCCCACCAGGTCAGATGACACCAGGGGATTATGGGAACTATACAATTCAAGATGAGATTTGGGTGGGGACACAGCCAAACTATGCAGTAATAAAGATGACAGGTTTCTGGCAGAAAATGAGGAATGGGGGCCTATATACCTCTTCTCCTTACCTATAGGGTTTGCTCCACTTTGATGTAATATCAACCTTCTATCATTGCAATATATTTGTAAGTTTGTTGTGGCAACAGAATAAGATCAACCTTTCATCCATGAGGTAATGCAATAATGGCAGTAATAATAATAGTGAAGGTGAGAGTAGCTCCTGGTTTGAGCACCTGGGGTATATCACCACTCTTCTGGATACTTTCCATATAGTATGTTAGCAATTCTCAAAGCAGCCCATTTTGTAGGTCATAGCAACAATTATGTGTTAAGCACCAATACGCACCCAGTGTCTTCTAAGTGCCCAGAACAGTGATGGATAAGACAGACATGGTCTCTGCTGCCCTCATGGAGCTTTCATTTTAGTAAGAGACACAATCAATAAACACACCCATAGGATCATGTGAGGGGTATATGTGGTGTATAGGAATAGGTAAGGTCATGAGAGGAAGAGGGACTGGGGTGGGAGGCTATTCTAGATGTGGGGGCGTGGGAGGGCATCTCTGAGGGGCTGATACCTGAAGAGTGAGGACTCAAAGCTCTCAGGATGAAAATTCAACAGAGAAAAGGAAGATGCAAAGGCCATGGGGTGCATATGAGTCTGATGTGGCTGAGAAAGAGGACAAGGGTAGTGGAGGGGTGTTAGGAGGGGAGAGAGGTAGGTGCCAACACTGGGAGTGGAGGAGGCAGCAGGCTATGTCAGCCTTCTATGTTGGCCAAGGGAAATCTTTGACTTGACTATGTAGTCATGACTATATGGTTTTGCAGCAGGAGAAAACTGCAATGAGGACTCTAAGTGGGCTTAACCAAGTTGACCAGGCTCCGGGTAAGCACTAGGGCAGGCTTCCTGCCCTTCAGAACCAGCACAGGGAGCCTATATACCCAGGCTCACCCTGGATCGCATCCAGGGACCTCCGATTCTCAGGAGGCTGCCAGGCTGTGGTCTGATGAGAGTATGGGGCAGGGGCCAGGAACCAGGATGTGCCATAAGCATTCTGGTCGCTCCTGGGCCAGGCTGCGCATGCCTGGGGAGGGGATGGTATGGCAGAGGCTGGGGAAAGGAACAGCTACTACACAAAGCCCCTGTTGAAGAGAAACTCTGACCAGCTGCCCAGGGCTGGGCTCAGAGCCAGGCTGGCCTCTCAGCATGCCCAGCATCCTGCAGCCCAGCCTCCACTGGAGCTTAGGGAAATTTCTGGATCGGGGTCATCTCATTCAGCCTCCTTCCTCTAGGCCAAGCTGGGCTCAGGTCACTGAGGTAAATGGAACCATTTTCATCAAGTTGCTCAAGCCATGAACCTCCACATGATTTTTGATTTTGATTTTCCTTTTCCTCAGTATCTAACCATACATGAGGACCAGTATCTAACCAACTGTGCTGGGCTGTGTTCTCATTTCTCTGCTTATATTGACTCACTTAATAATCATGACAACTTTACCAGGTGGGTACCATTGTGATTCCAATTTTACAGATGAGGAAACTGAGGCCCAGAGAGGTTTAGTAACTTGACAAAGATCACACACCGAACAAGAGGGAAGTTCGTGATTCCAATCCAGATGGTCTGGTTCCATTGTACTACACGCCTCTTCAGGGCCTGGCTAACATGTCACTTCCCTCAGGAAGCCTTCCCTGAGACACCCCCAGCAGGAGGCAATAGCATAAGTCACACAGACATGAATTCAAATATTAGCCCTGCTACTAATGAACTGTGCTACCCAGAACCAGTCACCCAACCTGTCTGGGCCTCAGGATTCCTAAAATGCAGACAAATAACAGTACTTTTGATTATCTATTCCTTTGTTCCCTTTGAAGTCTGTATTGTTATTTATGTGTTTTTTTAAATAAATAAATTAAAACATATTTTGTTTAAAAATGAGCACCTGTGTAGAGAGCCTGAATGTGCCACCCGGATCCCCATCAGTGGAGACCTTGCTGTCCCAGCTCAGGGGGTGCAGTTGGCTTTCTCAGACCCCGGAAGCTGCCTCACTTGAGGTCATATCTGCACCTGGGGCAGCTTGTGTCCCCAGACAGATGGATGCTGGAATACAAGGGTCTGGCTATCTCTGATCACTCGAACTGCCTTTGAAGACCATCTCAGCTCCAGTGCTCCTATGGCATTGGATCTGCCTCCAACTGCACTTCTCCCTCTACCCTCTCCTGCTTCCTTCCTCTCCCGTCCACAGAGATCCCAATGGCATAACCTGATGAAGCCTGTGCTTGCTAATCTCCATCCAGAGTCTGCTTCCTGAAAGTCCAACCTGTAGAAACTATGGCATGAGGATTTATGAGCTGGCGTGCATGCAGTGTCTAGCACATCTCATCGGCTGTATGTAATGGGCAGTTATTCTTTATTTTTTTCCAACAACCCTGTAGAATAAGAACTTTGAGTCTCAATCTATAGATGAGAAAAATAGGACCCCAGAGAGGTTAAGAAACCTGCCCAAAGTGTCCCAGCAAGGAGTGGAAGAGCCTAGACTGACCAGGTACTGAGATCTCCAAGCCTGGGCTTCTGCCCAGTGTACACGGTTAACAGGCATCCAACATTGTAGCTTCATTTGAAACTGAAAATTAAAATTGAAATAAGAAGAGAAGGCAATAAAAGAAGTAATTTCAGCTTCCCTTAACCTTAATTTCAGATTGACTCTTAATTGGCTGTGGTTTTGAATGCCTTGGTTTACAAGGCATTCAGAGGTGGGACAGAGCTTGGCTTCAGATATCGGCTCTACCATCTCTAGGATGTGCAAATGTAGGGGAGCTATTTAGCCTCCTTTTGCCTCCAATTCCTCATCTTTAAAAGGGAGACAGTGATAGTGTCAAATTCAGTGGTGCTAATAAAGATTGACTGAATCATATTCCACTCATGAAGCACTTCAGACAATGGTTGGCATGTGCAAAATTCTAGAGTAAACAATTTGGAGCCTGGATTCTGAAATCCGGGGGAGTTTGAACCCCGGCTCCCAAGCAGAGTGCAATTCTAAGAATGTAAGAGAGTTGCTTAATTTTTCATGTCTCAGTTTTCCCATCTGTAAAAGAGGCATAAAAACATTACCTAGCTCTTAGGGCTAGCATGGCAATTCAGTGAGATAATACACGGTGCCAGAGGCTGGATGCTGGCGTTGCACTACTTCTGAGCTGGGCTGGCTGACTTGTGCTTGCACACCCCAGAGAGTGAGTACTTTCTGAAATTCTGCACTCCATGGGCCTCATTTGCTCCACCCTCACCTGACTTCTGAGCTCACCAAGCCCTCTAGAATAACATTAATAATAACATCAGTGAACTAATTAATATTACTATGTAGTCTAGGTTATGAGCATAGACCTAGAGCCAAACTGCCTGGATTCTAATCTGACTCCATGGCTGTATGACATTATGTAAGGTACTTTCTGTGTGTCTCAAGTCCCTTATCTATAGAATGGCATAATAATAGCATCATCTCCTAGCTTTGTTTTTTGAGATGGAGTCTCGCTCCCTCACCCAGGCTGGAGTATAATGGCGTGATCTCCGCTCACTGCAACCTCCACCTCCCGGGTTCAAGTGATTCTTCTGCCTCAGCCTCCTGAGTAGCTGGGACTACAGGCATGTGCCACCATGCCTGGCTAATTTTTGTGTTTTTAGTAGAGACAGGGTTTCACGATACTGGCCAGGATGGTCTCGAATTCCTGACCTCGTGATCTGCCCTCCTTAACCTTCCTAAATTCTGGGATTACAGGCATGAGCCACCGTGCACGGCCCATTTTTCTTTTTTCTTTCTTTTTTTTAGAGACAAGGTCATGCTCTGTCACCCAGGCTGGAATGCAGTATTACGATCATGACTCCACTGTACTCCAGCCTGGGACCACCATGCCTAGCTAATTTTTTTTCACCCCATCTTTACAAAAAATACAAAAGAAAATTAGCTGGGCACGGTGAGGCATGCCTGTAGTCCCAGCTAGTTGGGAGGCTGAGGTGGGAGAAATGAGGAAGCCCGGCAGGCTGAGGCTGCAGTGAGCTGTGTCAGCACCACTGCGCTCCAACCCAGGTGACAGAGCAAAGTGCTGTCTCAAAAAAAGAGAGGCAGGAAAAAGAGCGAGGTCTCACTATGTTGCCTAGGCTGATCTTAGACTCCTGGCCTCAAGCCATGCTTCCGCCTCAACAAGCATGCTGAACAGTGTCTGGCACTGGGTGAGCACAATACACTGTTACCCCTTTTAAGTCACAGAGTCCTCCAGTCCTAATATTATTGGTATTAATATTTTGCCCATCACGAGCACCTTGAGGATCCAGGTCATACTTTATTCCTCTCTTTCTCACCAGGCCCTGAGTGTGGACCCATGAGGAATGAACTATGATCATCTCAGTTTGGCAAGTGAGGAGACTGGCTATTTCCCCAGGGCCTGTGCAGTTGGCCTGCTCTGATCCTGGTACTGCAGCCAGCACTGGGAGCCGCCCACACCTAACTCCCCACCGATGTTCCTGATGGGGGGAGGGGTGGGGCAGGGGTGGTCTTACCTCACAGCCTTTGGCCATGGCGAAGCCCCCTCCCAGGAGAAGGATGATGTTCCAGGGCACTGTCTCCTGAGCCTTCTTCCAGGTCAGCAAGGGCACTGTCTCCGTGTTGGGAGCTGGGCAGAGAGAGGAATTCAGCACACACTCAGGGACACTCAGCCCGAGGCAGAGGCCACCAGCCCTGCAGCTCCATCTTAGTGGGGACACTCAGGGGTCCCTAGGAAGCCAAGATGTGGACCCAGCATCTGACTTGGAGCTTTAGGGAGAGTGTGTAAGCATCATGAGAGGGGGAGCTGCTCTATTCCCAATGAAAATAATTTTCATGGTTCCCACAGCTGGGGAGTTTTTGGAAACTCCACAAGCAGGACATCACCCAGCTCAGCCCTTCTGCACGAGTGCTATTTTTACCCTTATTTATCAGAGAAAAGGCTTTCTTTGTATTGGAACATATACAGAGAGAAAAAAAAAAAGAGGAAGAAAATTTAGAAAAATAGAAACAAAGGGTATTTTTGACTATGGGATGATTTTCATTTCCTCAAAAGGGGCAGTGAGCTGCAGTGGTGAGGACAATGGGCGGGGGGAGTCAAGACTTTCTGCAGACAGTTAGCGAGTGAATCACTGAGGCTTTGCAGCCACACAGACAGTCTCTGTTGTCACTACTCTGTCACTGTAGCATGAAAACAGCCAAGGACCATACTTAAACACGTGGGTATGGTTGTAAATAAAACTCTATTTACAAAAGTAGGTGGTGGGTCAGACCTGGTATGTGGCTGGTAATGTGACACCCCTGGGTTTGGGGCATAGGCTTGGAGATGAACCCTCCTGGGTCTTGGCTCACTGTGTGCCCTTGACAAGTGACTTTGCCTCCCTGTGCCCCATTTCCTCAGTCAGCACATGGCACAGTTACAGAACTGGGGTGGGGGTGTTCCCTGTGAACACAAACCAGGGCAATGATGAATCTGCAGGGAGATGAGGCATTTCCAGTGAGCTGACAGTTGCATCTCCAGGGTCTAGAACAGTGACACCTGTGGTTACTCCATAAAAATTTGTCAAATAATGTATATGACACTCTTAGAGCCATGCCTGGTGTAGGGTAATCACTCCTGAAATGGGACTTTTCTCTGCAGGCTGTGATCAGGGAAGCAGGGAGGATGGGTCTGGCTCTTTAAGGCAGTTCCTCATCTCCCAGGACAGTTCCTGGTCCAGCAGTTTTGGGCATTTTGCTTCTCTTTTTGAGCGTTTTCCAAATGTAACACAGTGGTTTATCTAAAACAAGATTTTATAATCAGGAAATAAAGATAATAAAAACTACTTAATTAAATTCCTTTACCAACAAGCATGCAGCCCACAGGTAGATGAAGCCCACAGGTGTATGCAGTCTACAGGTGTATGTAGCCCCCAGGTGTATGCAGCCCCCAGGTGTATGCAGTCCATAGGTATATGCAGTCCACAGTGTATGAAGCCCACAGGTGTATGCAGCCCACAGGTGTATGCAGTCCACAGGTACATGCAGTCCACAGGTATACGAAGCCCACAGGTGTATGCAGTCCACAGGTATATGCAGTCCACAGGTGTATGCAGTCCACAGGTACATGCAGTCCACAGGTGTATGCAGCCCACAGGTGTATTCAGCCCACAGGTGTATGCAGCCCACAGGTGTATGCAGTCCACAGGTACATGCAGTCCACAGGTGTATGAAGTCCACAGGTGTATGCAGCCCACAGGTGTATGCAGTCCACAGGTACATGCAGTCCACAGGTATACGAAGCCCACAGGTGTATGCAGTCCACAGGTATATGCAGTCCACAGGTGTATGCAGTCCACAGGTACATGCAGTCCACAGGTGTATGAAGCCCACAGGTGTATGCAGCCCACAGGTGTATGCAGTCCACAGGTGTATGCAGCCCACAGGTGTATGCAGTCCACAGGTATATGCCGTCCACAGGTGTATGCAGCCCACAGGTGTATGAAGCCCACAGGTGTATGCAGCCCACAGGTGTATGCAGTCCACAGGTGTATGAAGTCCACAGGTGTACGAAGCCCACAGGTGTATGCAGTCCACAGGTACATGCAGTCCACAGGTATACGAAGCCCACAGGTGTATGCAGTCCACAGCTATATGCAGTCCACAGGTGTATGCAGTCCACAGGTACATGCAGTCCACAGGTGTATGAAGCCCACAGGTGTATGAAGCCCACAGGTGTATGCAGCCCACAGGTGTATGCAGTCCACAGGTACATGCAGTCCACAGGTGTATGAAGCCCACAGGTGTATGCAGCCCACAGGTGTATGCAGTCCACAGGTGTATGCAGCCAACAGGTGTATGCAGTCCACAGGTACATGCAGTCCACAGGTACATGCAGTCCACAGGTATACGAAGCCCACAGGTGTATGCAGTCCACAGCTATATGCAGTCCACAGGTGTATGCAGTCCACAGGTACATGCAGTCCACAGGTGTATGAAGCCCACAGGTGTATGCAGCCCACAGCTGTATGCAGTCCACAGGTGTACGCAGCCCACAGGTGTATGCAGTCCACAGGTACATGCAGTCCACAGGTGTATGCAGTCCACAGGTACAGGCAGTCCACAGGTGTATGAAGCCCACAGGTGTATGCAGTTCACAGGTGCATGCAACCCACAGGTGTATGCAGTTCACAGGTGCATGCAACCCACAGGTGTATGCAGCCCATGGTATCTACATGCAGTGTAGGTGTCATAAACCTGGAGGAGATTCTTGGGCCAAATGCAACATACGATAAGCCCAGAACTGGACAAGGCAACCAGACATGGCAGGTGGCCCCCGCCCTTTGCCTTCAGGTGATAAAATATCATTTCATTAAAGAAGTCCAAGAAGACTGAAAAAGTGAAGTGACTCACCCGACACAGCAAGTAAGGGTGGATGGGACGGGGGAAGGAAGAAGGCCTTGAGCAGGGTCCCATGTAATGCAGATTAAATGTCGAATGCTTATCAGACTGCCTGTCACATGCTGAGCTCTCAGTTAATGTTAGCTACCACGGTTTTTACTGTTTTCCCACCCAATCATGGCTTTACTGCTATTTCTCATAAGCACAACCTCTGACTACATGGATTTCCCACTCCAGCTCAAGCTGATGCCAGTTTGCTGTCTAGAGCAGTGGCTAAAGGTACAGGCTTTGAACTGGACTTGAATCCTGGCTCTGCTGTGCCCCAACTGTGTGATTTGGGCCAGTGTCACTACCTTTCCATGCTTCAATTTCCCCTTCTGTAAAATAGGGTAACAGCACTTCCCTTGGAGGCTAACTGGAAAGATCAAACGGTCCTTCTGTGCAAGGGACTCATCCCAGGGTCTTGCCCAGAGCATGTCCTTGGCTATTTGTTTAACAAATATATGTTGAGTACCTGCTATGTGTCAAACATTCTTCTGGGCTCTAAGGATATCAGAAGTGGCCAAAACACAGAAAATTCATCTCCTTGGAGAACTTATATTTCAGGGGGGATGTCAGGTGATAAACAAATAAATATACTGGCCAGGCACGGTGGCTCATGCCTATAATCCCAGCACTTTGGGAGGCCGAGGCAGGCGGATAGCCTGAGGTCAGGGGTTTGAGACCAGCCTGGCTAACATAGTAAAATCCCATCTCTACTAAAAATACAAAAATTAGGCGGGCATGGTGGTGGTGCCTATAATCCCAGCTAACAGAGAGGATGAGGCATGAGAATCGCTTGAACCCAGGAGGCAGAGGTTGCAGTGAGCCGAGATTGTGCAGCTGCACTTTAACCTGGGCAATGGAGCAAGACCCTGTCTAAATAAATAAATAAAGCCAAGAAAGTTCATCTACTATTTTTCTCAACAACAGAAAACAGTTCTCTCAGCACTTTGGGAGGCCGAGGCAGGTGGATCACGAGGTCAAGAGATCGAGACCATCCTGGTCAACCTGGTAAAACCCCGTCTCTACTAAAAATACAAAAAAAAATTAGCTGGGCATGGTGGCGCGTGCCTGTAGTCCCAGCCACTCAGGAGGCTGAGGCAGGAGAATTGCCTGAACCCAGGAGGCGGAGGTTGCCGTGAGCCGAGATCGCACCATTGCACTCCAGCCTGGGTAACAAGAGCGAAACTCCGTCTCAAAAAAAAAAAAAGAAAGAAAGAAAGAAAGAAAACAGTTCGATTATGATCCCTATTTCCTGACTCTGGAGGAGCTCATCCAACTGCCCCAGGTGGCAGCCTCAGGTGTTGGCGTCACATTCTGGCAGACTTCTGGCAGACTTCTGCTGGACGCCAATCTGAAGGCCATTTTGGCTAGAGGGACTCAGTAATTTAAAAAAAAAAATCTGAATGCCTTTAGGCAGTTTTCCCTCAATCCCCACCACCTCCTGTATAGTTGAAACCCAGTTTGTACCTTCCATAAGTGGCTCCTTGGACAACCAAGGTGCGACTTCTGCTTTGAGCTAAGGGGTCATTTTTCCGCAAAGGACAAGAGAAATAAACCTTGTTTTGCTTTTTGGGCCAAAAGGCAAAATTGAGGCTTTTGTGTAGGTACTTATACAACTAAAGAAAATTAATTTCCATACATTTCTTAGGGGAAAGCAAAACTTGATGAATAGACACTGAAATTTGGATTTCATGTAACTTTCACATGATATGAAATGTTTTTCTTTCTTTTTTTTTTTGCAACCATTTAAAAATCTGAGAACTATGCTTAGCTCACAGGCTGTTCAAAAAACAGAGAGCCGGCTGGATTTGGTCTGGAGACTATAGTGGCTAACCCCTGTCCTGGGCTATCACCTGGGGCAGTCCTAAGTCCCCAGACAAGGCCACAGCTCAGACAGAAAGGAGGAAGGACCACGTGGTTAGTGCAGAAGCGAGCTCCAGGCCCTTGATGACCACACTCCACGCTGCAGTCCCCACTGAGACCCCATCCTTGACCACCTTACCTTTGAAGTCAAACCACCACTTGAGAGAGGGCCTTTGGGATGGGAAGAAGAACAAGATGGTGACAATAGCCACGCCGGTGACAGCATCAGAAAGAAACCTACAATGAGAAGGCCCCAAAACATGTGACCCTGGGCATCTCAGCGGGCCGAGGTTTGGCAGATTTGTAAATGAGGATTTGTGGAAGGGAATTAGGCCTTCTCTGAAGGGGACATTGTTGGAGGCTGGGTCACTAGATTCTGTCCTGCAATGCCCTCTGCATGGTGCAAAGCTCTTTATTTGCAGCTCCCTTGGGGTATTTAGATGCTGCTTGGGCCCAGGCAAATGCTTATCCTCCCAACTCAAGGACCCTAGGAAGAAGGACTCAACCAAGGAGGGGAGAATCTGAGGGCAGCAGAATATTGGAGTCTTTGGAAACCCCATAAATCACCCTAACTAGGACTCCTGTAAGAGCCCTATATTTGTTCAGCTTGTGCTTGAATCACTCCTGGGATGGGCAGCTCACCACATCGATACAGCCCACTCACACCAGTAGAACCCAGATTGACTCAGCCTCACGGCCCCTCAAAATCTGTCACCTTTCAAGCATCCACAATGTGTCTTTAGGAGGAGCTCTGTACACATTAAGCCTTCAGGGCAGGCACTTTCCACTCCAGGTGGGAAATCAGAGGGTCAGAGAGCAGAAACCACTTGTTCAAGTCATTTTGTTAAATTGACATACACCTAGATATAACCAAGATACCCTGTAAATTTTATTTTTAAAGTTTTGGTTTGCAGCATTGGACACAATCCAATAAGGAGTTGATTAAGGAAATCCAAGTACCCCCATTCTGTAGACTCAGATTGCTCCAGAATCTGAGACTCAGATTGCTCTGGCTCCAAGTTCAATGAAGTCTAGAGTTCATTGCTAACCAAAGCTCTGCCCACTCACACACTTGGAAAGGAGAGGATTTAAATAGACAAGAAGTTGGAAGAGATGGTCAGTATCACCATCATCAGAGAAATACAGAGCAAAACACTAATGGTATACCATTCATCTGCCACAGGCAAGACTTGGAGAAGGGAGTAAAACCAGTGAGGGTGTTGGGAACACATGCCCTTAGTGAAAGAATAAACCAGTTGAACCTCCTGAGCATTTGGCAACATGTTTCAGATGTTACATGTGAATACCCTTTGATCCAGTTATCCTACTGCTAGGAATTGAACCTTGGAAAATGTCGTACTTTTGTACACAGATTATGGGCAAGGATGTTTATTATTGGTAAGAGTTAAAAAAAATGGAAGATTTTCAATAGACACATGTTTAAAGAAATTATCTTCCATTCACATTATGAAATACATGCATCTGTTTAAAAAAAGATAAAAGGTAATGTCAACCCTATGTATTGACATAAAAATACTATGAAGATACCCTGTAAAATTTATTTTAAAAGTGTTTATTTGAAGCACTGAACACAATCCGATAAGGAATTGGTTAAATAAATCGAAGTGTTCCCATTCTGTAGAGTACTCTGCAGTGTTGTAGAGTACATCTGCAGAGGATGAAGTTGGCCGGGCACGGTGGCTCAAGCCTGTAATCCCAGCACTTTGGGAGGCCAAGGCAGGTGGATCACGAGGTCAAGAGATCGAGACCATCCTGGTCAACATGGTGAAACCCTTTCTCTACTAAAAATACAAAAAATTAGCTGGGCATGGTGGTGCGTGCCTGTAATCCCAGCTACTCGGGAGGTTGAGGCAGGAGAATCGCCTGAACCCAGGAGGCAGAGGTTGCGGTGAGCTGAGATCGCGCCATTGCACTCCAGCCTGGGTAACAAGAGCGAAACTCTGTCTCAAAAAAAATAAAAAATAAAAAATCAATAAAATAAAAGGATGAAGTTGTGACCTGAGTCCAAGAAAATAAAATTTAAAAAAGGGATGAAGTCAGTCCAAAAGGGCAAGTCGCCCATGATCATATGATTACATTTTCCAGTCTTGTGTTACGTGTATACATATTTGTATGTGTGTACATATGAAGATATGTGTGCGTATCTGGAACATCACACACCAAACTCCTCATTGCAATCATCTCTGGACAGTGGGACATAAAGTGGATAAAGAGCCACCAACTTGTCCTTTTTCAATTCAGCATTGTTTGAGTTTGTTATGAGTATGCGTAACTTTTGAAATTCAATACAAAATTAAAAAGCAGATTACAAATAATATGGCGATGTGATCATATTTCTGTTTTAAAAAATCCTCTTTTAATAGGGTTCTAAAAGCCAATTGGCATACGTTTCGTTGAGGTGTAATTAACATGCGATAAAATGCACCCATTTTTTTTTTTTTTTTTTGAGACGGAGTTTCACTCTTGTTACCCAGGCTGGAGTGCAATGGCGCGATCTCGGCTCACCGCAACCTCCGCCCCCTGGGTTCAGGCAATTCTCCTGCCTCAGCCTCCTGAGTAGCTGGGATTACAGGTATGCGCCACTGTGCCCAGCTAATTTTTTGTAATTTTTAGTAGAGACGGGGTTTCACCATGTTGACCAGGATGGTCTCGATCTGTTGACCTCGTGATCCACCCGCCTCGGCCTCCCAAAGTGCTGGGATTACAGGCTTGAGCCACCACGCCCGGCCTGAATGCACCCATTTTAAGGGTATAGTTTAACAAGTTTTGACAAATGTGTACAGTCCAGTAACAACGTGATCACAATGTATAACAGTTCTCAGATAGGCATTTTTTTAAAAGGCAGGAAAGATGTATATCAGAACTAGAGACTGAGATTTGGCTGATTTTCACATTTTCTGTATTGTTGGGATGCTTGTAACATCCATTTTGCATCTGAAAAAAATGAAGTACCTATATTTTGGAAAAATTAAAAAAAATAGTAAGAGCAATGAGAGCTTCATGGCTTCATGAAATTATATTGTTTCTTGCTTATGCCAACTTTCAGGAAATCTGAATTTATATCATCCATTTTACCAGGGAAGAGGTTGAGGCACAGAGGGTGAGATATGTGGATTGTGTACTGCCCAGCATGGTAGCCACAAGCCACAGGTGGTCTAGTGGGTATGTGAAATGTGCCAAGACCACACTGACATGTGCTTTAAATGTAAAACACACACAAGACTTTGATGATTTCATATGAAAAAAGAATGCAAAATTCTCTCTAATAATTTTTACATAAAATATATATTAACAGTGTCATCTGTTTCTTTTCACTTTTTAACGTAGCTATTAAAAAATTTAAAATACATATATGGCTCACAGTATATCTCTCTTGGATGGGGCTAATTGAAATAATCAGATTTCGCCAAACCCTGCAGATAAATCTCTATTTAATCATGTTCCCACTCATGCCAGAATTTGACACAGTGCCCACTCACTCTTCTTAAAACACTCCCCTCTCTTGGCTTCTGCTGGTCCATAGCTGTAAGTTCCTTCTACCTCACTCATCATCTCTCCATTTCTCCAGTAAATTCATTTTCCTCTCCCCAGCTCCCAAGTGCTAGGGTTCCTCATGGTCTTCTATGCTCTCCTTATACACTTTCCATAGCTGAGCCCATCAATTCCTATGGATTTAACTCCAAAATTTACACAATGACTCCCAGATTAATGTCTGCAACCTAAACATCTCTAAGCTCCAGTCCTTCATATCCAGCTGCCTACTGAGCTTGACAAGCCTAAACCAAGACCAAAATAGAATTATGAATAAGCCATTCCCAGCCCCTAAAAATATTCTTCTCTAACTAACCACCATTCATGCACACACTCCTTTCATTAATACCCCCCTAAATCCAACCCAGCCCCACATTTAATTTTGAAAGATATCTTGACTGCTGCATCGCCATTGCTACCACCTTCACTTAGGCCATCTGCCAGAACAGGGGTCAGCAAATGCCTCCTGTAAAAAGCCACACAATAAGTATTTTTGGCTTTACAGGCCACATGGTGTTCGTCTGGACTCACATTTGACATTGGAGCATGAAAGCAGCCATAGACAATAAGTAATTGAATAGGTGTGGCTGTGTGTCAATAAAACTTTATGTGTACACTGAAATTTGAATTTCATATAATTTTTGTGCATCACAAGATGTTGTCTTTTGATTTTTCCACAGCCATTAAAAAAATGTAAAACCCATTCAAAATCAAGTGGCGGGCCAGAATTGGCCCCTGAGCTATAGTTTGCTCACCCCTGTTCCAAAAGACATGGGCCATCTAGATGAGGTTATAGGTCCTAACTGTTCTCCTCATCTATATTTTTGCCCCCACTACCCATTTCCTAATGAATATAGCTAACAATTGTTGAGTTCTTTCTATAAGCCATTCTAATCACTTGACATGTATTAACTCATTTATCTTTACAACAAGCCAATGAGAAATGTACTATTATAATATCATTTACAGATTAGGAAACTGAGGCACAGAGAGGTTAAGTAGTTTAACCATTGGAGGGTTCCAATGGCTGCTCACTAATCACGGAAAAAAAAAAATCAAAATGCTTAACATACCCAAAAAGACACTCTGATCTGGCCCTCACCTATCTTTTCTCACCCCCTTTCCTTTTTTCTCACCAGGCCTTGGTCCCACTGGGTTTTTCTCAGTTTCTCAAGCATGTTAAGTTTGTTCTGTCTCAGGCTTCAGTAGACATTCTCAGTGCATCTCCACTGCTTCCACCTGCTGTCTTCCTAAGCTTTGGCTCTTCCCAGAACTGTCCAAAGTCAATGCCCCCTCTCCATTATTTTATAGCATAACCCTCTCACTCTTTCCTTCATAGCACTCATTGTAGTGCGTTATTTTGTTGTCTAACTACTTGCTTTTCTCTGTGTCCCAGTACCCAGCATCCAGCTTAGCACATGATAGTTTATCAATCAATGTTGATTGAATGAATGAACAATTTGCTCAGGCACACAGCTTGTAAGTGGTAGAGCTAGAATTCTAACCCAGTTTTGTCTGACTCCACATCTAGAGCTTCCAACACACAAGAAATCATGTTTTATCACCCAAACCTAAACAACCTAAACTCTTTTGAGTGTGAAAGAGTTAATAATAATCATAAGATTATTATAAAAGGGTTAATTAATAATCACATGGGACAAGAGATGAAAACTTGGACATGGGTCTCCCTAGCTGCACTGCCACCTCTCCAGCTCCAGGTGGCCCAGCCCAGAATCCTTCCTGTTGGACTCCACCCTGGGGGTCCCCAGAGCCTCACCCTGGAGTGAAGAAGCTGGCCCAGCCAGGGATGAACTTCGGGTCCCGGGAGAAGAGGAGGATGGCAAACACGCAGAAAAGGACAAAAACGGCCCGTTCGGCAAACCTGTGGCACAGACATGCAGGCACAATGGTGACCCTGGGTTTCAGGCAGACCACAGCAGACACAGGCTCAGGTAGATGCCCACTGGGAGTGACTGAGCCTGGGCTCTGCCTCTGAGAAAGCTGGAGTCATCCACTCCCCAGGGAGTGCCCAGAGCAAGGGAAGGGATGCCAATGGGATGTAAGTAATCCCGGTCTCGGGACTTCCACACTCCCTCAGGATCCTTCCTGAGCCTTAAGCCACTTACTCCCCAAAACCTTGTGCATCATTATTGCCAGGAGTTTCCCAGGGTCCTATGGAAAATCAAGAAAGTAAGAAACAGAGTCAGAAAAGCAGAGAGAAAGTGCGACAGACAGAAATGCAGTAGGCAAAGAGAAAGAGGAAAAGAGAGAGAGAGAGGTAGAAAACTACAGTCTGTCTATACTGAGAGGAGAAGACACAGAGGGTACAGACCTGGAGAGAGAGTGGAAGGAGATGGAAAGAGAGGATCCCCAAGCGTTGGAAGAGATAGTTACCAAATGTACCTGTTTCACAGACTGAAGAGCAGGGCCCAGAGAGGGTTAGTGCTGGGACCAAGGCCACACAGGACATGCATGGCACAGCTGGTCTGTGAACACAGTACTACTGAAGCCATTATTTTCACCATGTAGGAAACGTGCATTAAACAAGGTCTTGGAAGCCACCTGAGATAGTGCCAAACATTTTGTGTATTTGGAGGGAAACGGTGCCTTGGGTGGAAGGTAGCAGATCCCTCCTGAGGGGCTTTTTGGTCCTCAGGTTTCTACCCCAGCACCAGGGCAAGAGGATGACTCTGTAAACCACCTCCCAACCTCCATCACCAGGATTCCAGGCCATGGGTCCTGAAATTCTCCTGGAGCTCAGCCCCCATGGGCCCAAGCCCAGGTCAGGAGGAAGCTCTCCTGAGCATTTAATACTCAGCTCTTTCCTCAACCCAAGGACCCCCACATACCTGATAGGCCCCAGGTTCTGGTATTCTTCCCGAATCACAGCTCGAGCACCATCTTCTGCATTGGCTCTTATCTCAGATTTCTTCTTCCTCCAGCCCCGAAACAGAAAGTGGGAGGTTAGGCCACTGCAGGTAGAACTAACTTCTCACCTACAACCACCACCACCACCTGACAAAGCCACATCCTCTCTGTCCCAGGCCTGCCTGATGGCTGGTCTCCCTGCCTCTGTCTTCCTTTGCTACAGTTGTTCTCCTCATGTATAGCCTGGCTGGTCTTTAAAAATGTGAATCTGATCATATGACTCCCAGGCTTAAAATCTGTGAGTGGGTCAAACAGGCACATGAATAAACAGAGGAATCAATGGAACAAAATAGAAAATCTAGACACAGACTCATCACAAATGGGAATTTAGTCTATGATAAAGTTGCTACCTCAGATTGGTGTATAAAATATGGGCAATTCAGTAAATGGTGTCAGACATATAAATCAATGGAACAGAATTGAGAGCCCAGAAGTGAACCCATTCATCTGTGCCCAATTGATTTTTGACAGGGGTACCAAGATTGAATAGTGGAGGAAGGAATAGACTTTCAACAAATGGTGCTACAACGACTGGATACCCATGTGGAAAAGAATGAATCTGGACCCCTACCTCACACCATAAACAAAATTTAACTCAAAATGGATTGAAGCCCTAAATGTTACTGCTAAAACCATAAAACTCTCAGAAGAAAAGACAGGGGTAAATTTTCATGCCTTGGAATAGGCAACAGTTTCTTCCATATGATGCCAAAAACACAAACCAACAAAGATAGATAAACTTGACTTCATCAAAACTGTAAAATGTGTGTGTCCATAAATGGTGTTAGGACACTGGGTGACCATCTGGGACAAAAAAAAGAAAAACTGAATCTGAATCCAAACTTCACACTGTACCATAAGGATGAACTTCCAGTAGATCAGAGGTTTAAATGTAAAAATATATAACACTAGAAGAAAACATGGGATTATTCTTTTATAAGTCCTGTATTAGGAAAACCTTTCTAAGTTGTAATTAAAATTTCAGAAGCCATGTGAGAAAAGATAGAAAATTTTTTTAAACAATTCTTCATGGAGAAAAGCAAAGTCAAAAGACAAATCAGGGAAAAAAATGTAGTATCTATTGCAGAATAAGCACTCATCTTTCTAAAATATAAAGACTACCAGCAACTAGTAAAAACAAGACCAATAACCCATTTGAAAAATGTATGAAAATATGAACACACAGTTTCACAATTCACAGGAAAGAAAATATCAGTGAACAAACTTTTCATATGCTTCCAAACACATAAAAAGTTGCCCAAGATTACTCTTCATAAAATAAACACAAGTTATTTTTTTCTTATCAGATTGGCAAAAATCCACTTTGCTGCAGGGAAGCAGACATGCTCATACATTGTGCATGGGAGAGTAAACATGTAAATTTTTATGAAGAATTGTTTGACAATATCTATTTAAAAAATGTATTTATTCTCAGACCCAGAAATCCCACTTCTGGAAATGTATCTTATGAAAATGTCTGCTTCCTTTGAGCTATAGCTGTAGGATAAAAGAGAAAAAAATACATAAAAATATAGAATAAAAAAACAGCTGGGCGCAGGTGGCTCATGCCAGTAATCCCAGCATTTTGGGAGGTCAAGGTGGGTGGATCACTTAAGATCAGGAGTTTGAGACCAGCCTGGCCAACACAGTAAAACCCCATCTCTAACAAAAAAAGCACAAAAAAATTAGCTGGGTTTGGTGGCAAGAGCTTGTAGTCCTAGCTACTCTGGAGGCTGAGGCAGGAGAATCACCTGAATCTGGGAGGTGGAGGTTGCAATGAGCCAAGGATGGCACCACTGCACTTCAGCCTGGGTGACAGAATGAGGCTCTGTTTTCAATCAATAAATAAACAAAACAAACCCGAAATATGTCAGGGAGACCAGTCACCAGAAAAAGATATTTGTGTCTGCTCATATTTGCTTAAGAAAACTCTGGAAGGTTGCACAAGAAACCAATGAAAGTGTGTCTTTTTTTGGGCAAATATCCTGGGTGAAGAGGCTCATGTAGGCATCCTTGGGAAGAGGGGTTCTCACTGCATGCCTCTTCCTGTTGTTTTTATTTTTAAGAACCATGTGTTCCTATCCAAATTAACGTAGCCATATTAAAAGATAACCAAAGTAACCAAAATAAATACAGGAAAACGAAGTGCCAGTATTCCATTTTGGCTAGACATCATTTCCAGCTCAAGTCTCTGGGTCTGAAGCTTGCTCTTTCTTTGTTAAGAGGTTGATTTGGAAATGTCAGATATTAAGGTTTCTTTAGCACCCCACTGAGACTTTCTCCTCAGCGTAAGTCAACAGAGTGATGAGAGTTGATAAAGGCATATTTCCCAAAATATGATTTGGTGTTATTTAATATCTTGTCCTCATGCCACCCCAAATTATCTTTTGTGCCACGGTCCCATACAATGGGAAATGGTGTGCTCCCCTCTTCTCTGGTCAAGAGTGTTTACCCTTATTTAAAGGCAACACCATTAATAATTATTAATAATATGTGATATCAACAGAGGGTCTGAGTGTGGCAGGCAGGCCACACCTCTCACTTAATCCCTGGGAGGTCAAGAAATGAGAATATGGCTAGCCCTGTGGCTCACACCTATAATCCCAGAGCTTTGAGAGGCTAAGATATGAAGAATCACTTGAGGCCAGAAGTTTGAGACCAGCCTGAGCAACATAGTGAGACCTTGTCTCTACACACAAAAATTTTTTTTTAATTAGCCAGGCACAGAGGCACTCGCCTATAGTCCCAGCTACTTGGGAGGCTGCGGCCAGAGGAACACTTGAACCTGGGATATTGAGGCTGCAATCAGCTACGATCACACACTCCAGCCCGGGTGACAGAGCAAGACCTGTCTGTAAAAATACATACATACATACATACATACATACATACAGTAAAGAAATGAGAATATGACATGAAATGATCATCCTTAGTTTTCATAAGCAGATACTGAGACTAGAAAGGCCACTCCCTGGTTCCCCACTCTACCTGCCAAGAAGAAAATGAGAGGTACCTGAAGCTCAGGCCCCCATACAGGAAGGAGATCCAGAGCCAGCCTGCCAACAGGAACAACAGCATGAGAGGGAAGGCGAAAATGAACCAGGAGCCAAAATTCACCACGTCACACTGTGGAAAGAAACTGGAGAACAGTGGGAGATGAGAACAGGCCAAGGGCAGCGATGCCCATTTCGGGAACGGGAGAGGGGACCAGGCGGTACTAGCAGTCATGGGTCAAGAGGGGAATGAAAGGGTCCCATGGTAGTCTTGGGAACAGTGTTTTCCACCTCTTCTAATAGAAGCCCCCTTTTTTTCTCTTCTTTAGGGGCTACTGGCTTCTGACGTAGTGGGACCAATGGGTGCACTATAGTCAAAAATCTCTGCCCCCTGGGGGCCAGACAGGTACCTGAGTGAATGAAACAGGCTGGGTCAGGCCATGGAGAATTGAAGGGAGCTGGTGCATTAAAGGGGTCAGGTGCTGTTTGCTTCCCCATGGTAGCCATGCAAGAGTGCAGGGCCAGTAAGCCCAGATTTGGGTTTTACTTGAAATTATGTGATGTTTAAATGTTGGAAATTCATGAAAATGTTTTTGATGAATGTGGGAGTCAAACATAACACATCTGCAGACGGAAACCTTTGCCCTCCTTATTATATATGCTCAAAGACTCTGGACATTTTGTCCAGGCAATGGTGATGTCAACGAGTTCTTTCTCTGCTGAATGGTGTCCAATCTCAGTTTTATTAAGACATCATCAAGCCTGAAAGGATGAAGGGCAGTAACGCTCAATGCTGGTGAAGATGTGGGAAAACAGGCAGATTCTTGATGTTTGTTCATCAGGATACTCTTTTCTGGAGAAGAATTTGGTAAAATGCAGTAAGAGTCCTAAAAATGTGCATACCCTTTTACCCAGAAATTCTACTACTTGAAATAAACTTTAAAACAAACAACCAGAATATGGTCAGGAATATAGATGCTAGATTGAAAAGTGGAAAAATAAGTTACAGAATGATGTATACAAAAGTATATGGACACTCACAGACATTTCTCGGTAAATAAGTAAACAAACCAAAACATTAACAGTTATTACATAATAAATAAACAAAAAAAGAATAAATTCTATATAGTGGGATTCTAAGAGCTTTTTTATTTCCTCCTTTTTCGCTACTTGTATTTTCTACAGTGAATAAACATACCTCTGTAATTTGACAAAATAAAAATATTGTTTAAAAAATATTAAAATATCAGCAAGTGTATGGTCAGTTACATAATTTGTAATAGTGAAATAGTAATCATTATAAAATGAAAACAATCTAAATGCCTAGGATTAAAGCATGCCACCCAAATTAAGATAACATATAGTCACTAAAAATTAGGTTTTCTAAAAAAATTTTAATAATAAAATCAGACAATAAAACTGTATTAAGTGACAAAAACATGAAAAATATACACATTTAATATATGGATATAGAGAAGTCTAGAAGAAAGTCTGTTAAAATCTTACAGTGGGATTGAAGGTATTTCAAACTTCCTTTTCTACATTTTCCAAATGTTCTGTAATGTGCCTCTATCATTTTATAATCAGAATAAACCAATAAAACGTATTTTGGCAACAAGGGCCAAAGGACCACTCAGGGCACACACTTCTCCTGTCTCCCCAGGCTTCTCCTGTTCTGAACCAGAGAATCAAAATCATGTGTTACCTAGCATTCCTTTTAAATCCCCTCTCCCTACACCAGAGTGTCTATATTCGAGTCATTGTGTTGCATACAATTTGCATGTAATTTACCTGAAATCCTACATTTGATATTTTTACTGTGTATATATGTTAATACATATTATATACTAAATGTACATAAGATATGTTTTATAAAATATAAATATGAAAGATACATTTAAAAAAACATATAATTTCCCCAGTTTCATTTCAGGTTTGAACCAAGTCTTACATCAGGGCAGGAAGGCAGCCTGAAAATGCTTTGACAACAACTTCTTCCCTCCAGTTCTCTCCATCCCCAGCCCAGGTCCTGCCCTCCATCCCCAGAGCCCACATCTTCCTGTCCAGCCCCAGGGATGGGCCCTGGCAAACCCTAATGCCAAATGCCTGCCTTTCCCCTCAGCAGAACCCTAAAGGGCTGAGCCTAAACTATCCCACACCTGAAATAGGACTCTCTTTGCTTCTGGCTTTTCTGTCACCAAGCTAAAACCACAAGGCACAGCCAGGCCTTGTTTAAAAGATAGAGAAAAAAAGACATCTGAGGTTTGCAGTAAAACTCAGCGGGCTTAAATCAATTGGTGAAATACACCTACGATATTTTCTTTTGTTTTTCACTTCTCCCAGTGCATGGCTGAGAATCACTGGTTCCCATTATCAAATCTTAAAATCAAAACATTTTGGAATCTGAGAATGCAGTGGCAATTCATCTTACCCAGGGGTTAAGGTTTTTAAATCAGCACATGAGGCCAAACATGGGTGTGCTAATATCTCTTGTGAAAATACTTTTAATTACTCACATGTATGTTACTGAGTGTTGCGTGCATAGCAAACCTCTCTCGGGGAGATGAGCAGGGCTCCCTTCATCCCCACAGGTTTCTGATTCTTTGGTTGGGCGACAGGTAAAGAAGTTGGCTAGTATTTGGAGCCATGTTGAATATCAAATACTTTTGCTGTTCTTTGTTTGCCAAATGCTTACATTTGCATTTATGTAAATTAAATGAACCTATACTACATCTCCACTGCAAGGAATCTTAGAAACCCTGCCTCAGAATCCTGGAACCTAAAAGTCTTAGAGACAGGATCTTAAAATACTGAATTTTTAAAGTCTTGGAAACCAGAGGCTTGAAATAATGGGAGCAGCAAGTTGTGCAGCTGGAGTACCCTTCTCTTATTCTCATGCCCTGACTACCGGCCACCCAGCCACTGCTGGCCACTTCCAGGGGTGGGGAGATTTAAGCTCCCAGCAGAGCCCACTTCACTGGGGTACCCTGCTTATGGCTGGAAGGCTTCTCCCGGGCCATGAACAGCCACCGACCCATGCCTCCAGATGGGTCACTCTGTTCTCACCTTTCCCATGACCCCCCAATGACTTGGAGGAAAAGCTGGTGTCCTTAGACAACACTTGCCCCTATAACCTTATATCTTCTAACCTTCCCTTCGCCTCAGGTTCTTCATCTCCCTGGTATTTTTGCTGGTTCCTGAACCTCCCCAGGAACAGCCCCAAACAGCCCCACCTCCTGGCCTTGTAGGAGCTACTACCTGCTGTTGGCAATGCCTTTCCCTCCTGTGTCCACATGGCTCATTCCTTTCTAGGTATCTGCTCAAATGTCAGCCCATCAGAGAGAACCAGTGTCCCTGACCAACCTACATAAACTAGCACCCCTCTCTCCTCACTTCTACCCGCTTGCCCGGCTATATTTTTTCCCTAACTTATCACACAGATATATTACATATTCATTTGCTTTTTCACTTATTGTCTGACTCTCCTGCCAGAATGGAAGTTCCCCAAGGGCAGGGATCTCACTGGGTTTTGTGTATTGCTGTGTATCCAAAGCCTGGCCCAGAGAAAGCCCTCAATACACATTCTCTGGATGGTGAATGGATGAGGGATGAGGAAGGGAGGAGCAGAACCCTCCCTGCCAGTGGGGACTCTTGCTTTCACCTCTTGAGCTGGCCAAGCAGGATGAGGTTAGGGGCTGTGCCCGTGAGTGTGGCTGTGCCCCCAATGCTGGCTGAGTAGGGGATGGAGATGAGGAAGCCCTTCCAGATGTTCCCACGATATTCCTCCTCCTTCCTGGAGTCAGCCAGCAGATCCAGTGGAACCTCCGTCTCCCCAGAGTGGTCTTTGCTTTAAACAAATCCAAAGAGAAGCCATTCAGAACACATGGAGAACAGTCCACAAACTGCCCAGGGACTGGGGGAGCTAAGTGATCTTTCTAGAAGGTAATTTGGCACAGGTATCAAACATATTCTCACTCATAGGTGGGTGATGAACAATGAGAACACATGGACACAGGGAAGGGAGCACTACACACTGGGGTCTACTGGGGGGAATAGGGGAGGGACAGCGGCGGGGGTGGAGCTGGGGAGGGATAGCATGGGGAGAAATGCCAAATGTGGGTGAAGGGGAGGAAGGCAGCAAAACACACTGCCACGTGTGTACCTATGCAACTATCTTGCATGTTCTGCACATGTACCCCAAAACCTAAAATGCAATAAAAAAAAAAAAACTGTAACAAGGTGCAACTTTTGAGCTCAGATATTCTACTCTAAAAATGTATCCTAAAGAAATAGACTAGTGTCTCAGGTATAGGTACAGGGGAATTCACCATGCCATTAAATATAATTTAAGTGAAGAATAGTCTAAATGCCCATAAAAAAGGGGCTGATAATAAAGATGACCCTCTTCCTGGATGGAACACCAGTGTGGCTATTAAAAGGATGTTTGGTAAGATGAAAGTTGTCCATTCACAAACTACAGTGAAAAGGCATGTCACAGTACTATTTATTTTTTTATTTTATAAATACTCATGTTTCAGCTGGGCGTGGTGGGTCACTCCTAAAACTCCAACACTTTGGGAGACCAAGGCAAAAGGATTGCTTGAGGACAGAAGTTTGAGACCAGCCTGGGCAATATAGTGAGACCCCATCTCTAAAATAATTTTTTTAATCAGCTGGGTATGGTAGCACACACATGTAGTCCCAGCTACTCAGGAGGTTGAGGCAGGAGGGCCTCAGAAGTTTGATTGAGCCCAGAAGTTTGAGGCTGCAGTGAGCTATGATTGCACCTCTGCCCTCTAGCCTGGGTAACAGAGTGAGACCCTGTCTCTAAAAAAATTAATAAACAATAAATAAAAATAAAGGAACAGCTATGTTTCATGAATACAAGAGCATTTAAAGTCTATAAATATATTCAAATTATTTTGATACTTTTCCCAGGAGTGAAATTATGTACTTTTTTTTCTCTTTTATCTTCTGGGTTGTTTTCCTTGTGCAGTTGAAGAGTTTTGGGAAATACTGAAATTAAGAATTATTAAGTACATAATTAAAAGACCATAACGTTGACATTATTGAGGTGAAATGATGTCTGCTATACTCCATTAAGTAAAATAAGTTTTGGAAACAGACTGGAATGAAGAAAAAAAGTGAACCAGCAGGTTACAAAACAGCATATATAGCATTATCAATTTTTATTTTATTTATTTATTATATTTTTGGGGACGGAGTTTCACTCTGTCACCCAGGCTGGAGTGCAATGGCATGAACTCAGCTCACTGCAACATCTGCCTCCCAGGTTCAAGCGATTTTCCTGCCTCAGCCTCCAGAGTAGTTGAGACTATAGGTTCCCACCACCATGCTCAGCTAATTTTTGTATTTTTAGTAGAATTTCACCATGTTGGCCTGGCTGGTCTCAAACTCCTGACCCCAGGTGATCTGCCTTTCTTGTCCTCCCAAAGTACTGGGATTACAGGTGTGAGCCACCATGGTAAAAATGCATTTATGTATATAGCTCTCTATCAAGAAATAGTTTAGAATGGTATTCATTTAATGGTTACAATCTACCTCTGGAAGTGAGATGCTGAATACATTTATTTTTTAGTTTAAGGGTATTCTTTGACATATGCAATTGTAAAATGTTTATAAGTGAATGAAATTGAGAACTGCTGTAGCACTGTAACTAGGTGACAAGACAGATAGGTTAATGAGCTTGACTGTGATCACCATGTCACAATGTACCCATATATCAAAACATTACATTGTATATTTTAAATATATAATTTTTGTCAATTATAGTTCAATGAAGCCGAAAAAAGGGGAAATTAAGATTTTTTAAAAAGAAAACGGTTCTAACAAGAACACATGGACACAGGGAGGGAACATCATACACCAGGGCCTGGAGGGTGGGGGCTAGGGGAGGATAAGGGTTCGGGAGGGATAGCATTCGGAGAAACACCTAATGTAGATGACAGGGTGATGGATGCAGCAAACCCCCACCATGGCACGTGTAAACCTATGTAACAAACCTGCACAATCTGCACATGTACCATAGAACTTAAAGTATAATAAATAAAAAATAACAGTAAAGTAATTGCTTTTCAAAAAAAAAAAAAACAGGAGAAAAAAGAAAACTATTCTGTATAATGAATCAAATTTTAAAAATTAAAGTAGAAACTAAAATGAAAATTATTTCCTTAAAGAAGGAATGATAATTCAAATATTCTCTGGCCTGAATCACTACATAAGGGACTCCTTCCTCAGAGGACGATGGGGACATGAGCTGGGGTCTGAGTAGCTGATTTCCTGTATGACAGGAAGGCAAAGACCAGAAGCAGGTGGAAACTACCATCATGGTCTGACTTCTCAGGGGAGGCAGGCCCGGTCCAGAACTGTGGCCTCCCTCAGACCTGGGCACCCCAACCATTCTAAGTATCAAAAAGAGAAAAAGCAGAAAAGGCCCTAGGGTTTATCTAGACTGACCACTTTTTTGTTCAGGTGAGGAAATTGAGGCCCAGAGAGGGGAAGGGGTTTGCATCCAACATAGACTTCCAGAGAGTGAGGACTGGGTTTCCCAATAGACCCACTGCAAGCACTGCACAGGCAGATGTTTAAAACATATTTCCAGGCTACATGGTCATGAGTGGCTAAACCAATCATACAACCTGTGTCTCAAAGGTGGACTCAAAGCCCCCAAACATGGTGCCAAGAAGGAGCACAGGCTGTGGGATGAAACAAGCACAAGGTCATGCACCTCCCCTGCTAAAAACTCCATCAGCCCCCATCTCATTCAAAGTCAAGGCTATAGCCATGGCTCATGAGGTCCCACGTGCTCTGTCCTCCACCATCACTCTCTCCCCACCCAAGAAAACTCTCTGACCCAGCCTCCTACCATGTGCTCTCTCCCTCACTCAGCTCCAGCCACACTGGCTTCCTGGTTGCTCTTTGACCTCTCAGGAGCTTTGCACATGATGGTCCACATGCTGAGAACACTCTTCCCATGGTTACTCCCAAGACTCCCCACCCCTTGCAGGGATTTGCTCAAGCATGACCTCCTTGTGAGGCCTTCCCTGACCACACATATTCAAACTGCCCCTTCCCAATTACCAGCTCGCCTCCCCTACCCTCTTTCCTGCTTTGCTCTCCCTCCGAAGCTTATCAACCACATGACACTCCATGGATTATCCATTTATCCATTTCTTGGCACTAGAATCTAAGCTCAAAAGGGCTGGAATTTCTGCCTGTCCCTTGCTGTATCTCCATCCCTAGAATAGTGCCTGGTTTATCATAAGCTCTCAATAACTATTTGCTGAATGAATGAAATAGACCAGATCAACGCCCAGCACTGCCTGAGCAGATCACTTGACTCCCTGCTGTGTCATCATTGTTAAATTGAGATCACAGTGCCATAATAACAAGTGCTAACATCTGGGCGTGTATGGTCCAGCCAACCTGCTGTATCTACATTATCTCACACAGCCAGTGTGCAGCAGAGCCAGAGTTCCAAGTCAGGTGTTTGTGACGGCAGATCCCATGATCTTAACCACACTGCCATAATGCAAAGGATACACTAGACTAAATGCGATTTCGACATCAATGTGAAGATGCTTTCTAAGTCATGCAAGGGTGAAGGGCTGTTATTGTCTTACAGGGTGTTTTGTCTGTGTGGACTCCTAACCCTGCCTGCTCCCCTCTCCTCCTTGATTGTCATCAGTTGGTGCTGTCTTGCTCTTCTGGGTCCCTTCTTTCAAGAGGAAAGTACCTGTGATATTCAACTTCACCAGACCTTTAGGGATTTAATGTACTGCCCTACCCTTTCCATGTCACATTTTTTTAAAAGGAGGCTGTTGAGGTTCAGTTTAAGCCACAGAGATGAATGGTGAAAACTTAGGCATTAGGTCTTTTGGAGAAAAATTCAGGGATGGGAGGAAAATGGTTTGCAGCATTGAATTCTTGTTCATTGACTCCTTGAATCAAGCACTGGCTCCTCTACGAATTTCACCAATAACTTACTCTTCTGTGCTGGCGAGAAACTGCATCTCCGTGGGCACAGTGTGTAGGCCGTTTCTCCGCACAGCAGCTAGGAGGAAAGAGCATGATGTCTTTAGTGTAATGTAGCGAATGGGACAGGAGAGTCCCAAGACTTGTGTAGTCAGTCAAGAATGCTTTTTTGCCTAGGAACCTATACTATTTATAGAATCAAAAGACAAAGACAGAGAGGAAAGAAAAGAGGGAGGGAGGGAGGGAGAGAAGGAGGGAGGGAAGGAGAGAGAGAGGAAGGTAGGGGAGGGAGGAGGGAGGGAGGGAGGAAGGAAGGAAAGAAGGGAGGGAGGGAGGGAAAGAGAGAGAAAGAAAGGAAAGAAAGTACAAGAAGAGAAAGGGAAAGGAAGAGAAAAAGGAGGAAGAAAGGAAGGAAAGAGAGAAAGAAAAAAAGAGAAAGAAAGGGAGGGAGAAAAAGAAAGAGAAAGAAAGTGAGAGAGAGAGAAAAAGAAAGAAGAAAGGAAGGAAAGAGAGAAAAAGAAAGAAACAAACGAAAAAAGAAAGAAAGAAAATTAAAAAGACACGTCAGTCAGCATTCTGTCCCCCTGTGCTACCATCCATCTGTGAAGATGTGCCCAGGCCTGGTGGCAGGGGGTTAGCAGGGGTTTAGGGGCAAGGCTGCTTGACAATCTATAACTCAAGCCTAGGCTTACCTGAGTAGCTATTGTCAAAGTTGTGAAACGTCAGTTCTGAATCAGCAATGGCTTGGGCGACCCCACTTATCCATTCATTCATTCATCCAAAAAGTGTTTATTGAGCACCTACCATGTGCTATTGACTATGTTCTTGAGATACTCTGTGAATAAGTAGCGC